CATGTACATATGTCAGGATTTGTATTATATAAGAAAGTGAATGTGATGCAAATCAACATTTATTTGTCATGCATGTTGTAAACTACGTCATTTATTCTATTTATAATAAATATTTATTTATTATTTTATTTGAATCTGATGATTATAACATAACTACATTATACCGATTAATAACAATAGGTTTTACGAGCTAACGTTTGTTTTTTTATTTTTCTGTTTTATTTTTCGTCTTTTCTTTATCCGTGTGTCACTATAAAATGGTTACAAAAAAACAGCGTTATTCATATTTTTTTCATCTTACACTAATATGTCACGTATTGTATACATTGTCGTGGTATTGTCGATTATTGCCATTGCCATTGCCAATCCAGAATCAGTATGTCCTGGCTATGGATTCGTTCGTCCAGAAGAACCATGTGTTACTGAATGTAAACCTGAAAGTGATACTTGTGATGCCGGCATGAAATGTTGTTATACGCCTCAAAAACCATGTGGATATCGTTGTCTCGTTGGCAAAGACAAAATAGACAAAAATGGTACATGTCCACCGCAAGATTCCGATCAAGATAATTTCGATTGGTATTTATGTGATGGACATTTTTGTGATGTTGACTACGATTGTCCATGCGGAAAAAAATGCTGTCCTAACAAGTGTGGTTCAAAATTATGTATTAATCCCTAATAGAACATATTGAAAATAAACTAATTGATTTCTATTGATCATCACTACATGGTTATTAGCTTTTTCGTTTGCAGCTGCGTGATTCATGACGCTCCAACTTTTTCTTTTATTTTTTTGTCCATTCGAAAAAAATAAAAACGTTCTGTCACTTAACAGAGTAAAGCTACGAGAGAAACTACCTAATATGTCCTATAGTTTTTATTCAATAAAATTCTAGAATTCAACCACAATTCTCACATAGTATTTATCAGTTGAACTAAAGAATGTTTGAATAAGATACTGAACAAGAGAATGCATTGTTTGGTTGATATGAATTCATCTGTCAATGTACGTATATTCTTTTTTCGAACAGTTTGGATTTTCATTACATGAACTATGTTGGACAAATAGCTTTGATTCTTTGTTTTTTTGTTGTTTGTTTATAGTGAGAGGCTTGAATATGAATATTTAATAGACAAGAAAAATATCGAGGATTGTCAGCTGTCATTGATGATATGTGATAATGCATGAAAATTATCCTATCCATATGAATCATGTATATTTTTATCAAGTTGCTATGATATATAAATCAACTATTCAGATTTTTTCACAAGAAAAATAATTGAACTATCCGATGATCTTTCTTCATTAAAATAAACTAAAAAGACGATTTCGAACAATTACAACGATAGCCAACATCGATCGAATAGTGTGAATTTGGTCCAAAGAAAAATTAGCGAATGAAAGAATAGAAAAAAAAAGATTTTACCTTTTTTTCGCCATTTTTTCTTTCGGTTGCATTGATACTTACCCATCGACTAGACTAGCTACTGTGAATATCACAAAATTAGTTTACAAAGAAAGCACAACATATCAATTTTGAACAACATTCTCAACATCAATGTCGAATTTCGCAGTAAAACAAGCATAGTTTCAACAGATAAATGGTCGGATTCCACCTTTCATGTCAAAATGATCAAGATAATTAAAGCAGTTTCTCGCAGAGCTTTATGGCAGAATTTACATAAGATTTTTTTAAAATAAAGACGGTACTACTTTTCATCATCTATTTTCAGCTGTAAAATTCATTCAAAAATCATTATGTATTAGTGTGAATGAAAATAACACTACTACTGCGAAAGATCGAGATTTTAAATATTCTTCGCCGTTCTCAGGAATTTCCTCAAGACTTGAGAACAACAATGCTACTTCACACTCGCCCATTTAAATACTAATAAATTCAATCATAACAACCATTCGATACAGCAATGTAAATATCCATTAAAGTTGTCAATGTGTCACTTGTTAAGAGTGCATGACTCATAGACATTAAAAAAGACAATATTGACAATAGATATCTTTTTTTTCAAAATAAAATACGAAATGTTAATATTGATCTCTGAAGATTTTAACGAACTGCATAAGATAACTAAAGCACAAGACAAAAAATATTATCTAAAAAAACAATTGCACAAAACTTTATTTCATTCTTGTGAAAGTAGACAAACGCAGATAAATTTCGAATTAATAAATATATATTATATTATTCATGTTTCATCATGTGAGCTAGATAACTCTAGATATAAACTGATATCGAATTATATATGAATAATAAAATATAAGGAAGAAATTTTTAAATAATATAGAAATAATGTAAACACAAGTCTACATACATTATATAGTCTATATTAATAAACAGAAAGGATAGAATACATATAAGAATCTATCTATAGTTTTCATCATCGAAAATATACAATAAATAGAGAAGAAAAAAATCTCTAGAAACATAAAATATCTATAACTGTTTCTAAGATTTGCTAGTATCGTTAAATCCTTTATGAATTATCTAAAATTAGAACTAAGAAGAACTTAAAATATATAAATTCGATGAAATTTTTTCTGAAATAATATAATTCACTTTTCACATTACTTGTTACAGTTATCCTCAGATATTTTCAAGCGATCAACTAATGTCTGTAACACGTTAAATGATGTTATCTATGCTTTATTCGTGTTTGAACGATGGAAAATATCTTTACTACATAGAAAATGTTATTGACTATGACATTTATTAAAATGGGATCTTCAATTTTGAACAAATAAAAACAAATGCACTTATAATATAACATCGATCTACAGGTTTAGTATCTACATTTTGAATTCGTTTTTCCCGAATATCCACACAGTTCTATTTTTGTTGAATCTTTGTCATTTTCCAATCTGAACACATTTATCATTTTGTTTTTGTTTGAATTTTATGTTCCAAGAGTTATTTCGCTACTATGAGTAGCTATAGGACAATATAAACGATCATGACGATGATTTTCTAATCAAAGACTTGTAAATAATATATAAGCCATGATTAAACCTATCATACATAGACTAAGATTGATTCTATGACTACGAATAAAGAGAAGTACATCTTGTAATCAATAAATTTGATCACTAATGGTTTCACCATTGCTGTGCATAGATAACATAAAAACGAATGGAATAACTCATATTGTGCATGAACTAATATTGCTTGAAACAAAAGTAATATATCTTACTACATAAAATCAATCATACTTTTTATCAATAAAAATAATGTAAAAATTGCACATTGAGCATATCAATAAGAAAAATAGGCTATTGCTATTGTATTTATGAACAAAAATGTGTGTGGACATGCAATCATAAGTTAAACACGATAACTTTTGAAATCAAGACTTTGAACAATGATTGAAGAAAAAACAGTGAAAGAGAGCAGAATGGCTCAATGATACCCGTGCAGTATATATTCGTAAGACGTAAATTTCCCAATCTAAAAATATTATAAGAACTTGTTTCCAACTGAAATGTTCATCTAGATTAGGTTCAGCATTGCTTTGTAAACGACCAATGGTTTAATCACATTCTTCTTCTGTTGAGGATTTTGGTCAATTGCATGAATAGTCATTGACTAAAACGAAGAACTATGTTCGACAATAACAGTAGCGATGTCTTCGATATTAAAAGATTCATTACCATCCCTCTTGTCCACTGAATCCATTGATCTTACTGATGATGAAAACAAGAACATTACAAAATTTACCAGCTAATCAGGTAACAGAGCAAAGTATAATTGTACGCCACGAGAATTCACATTTTTTGCATTAACTTCATGGATAAAAACTGACATCTAAAAATATGTAATACAATAACATAAATCTATGTTTCTGATAACATAAAAGTCATGGTAATTCACCATGTGATTGTAATTATTGGTAACCATTGACTCAGTCGAAGTCTTTCGAGAATTAAATTCGATGGAATGTCAAAAATCTTGTAAGCCATAAAAATGCAAGTTTTAATGATTGCATGAGACCGTCAATTTGAATTGACTCGATCAATATATCATAATATATAAAGTAATATCTTTGTTGAAATAACATAAAGATCAAGTTTGTGAAGCAGTTTTTTTATCACCTGAATCATTAAATGCTCTCAGTTCATTAGTTTTTCTGGCAAGTCCTCTACTTCAATGATTGTTGTTTTTATAGTACTAAGTTCGATATTGTTTTGACTATTGCTCAAAATATTCATGGTAATAGTGAATGATGATTGTTCACTTTGTGAAGTCAGTCATTTGACAAATAGAGTACATAGTTGTTGAGAAATGCTAAAGGAGTGTTTATTTTTGGTGGATGTATAATCTTGATTATTGTTGTTTTTTGCATTTTTCAATTGAAGATATGATAAATTAATCAAAATATGATTCGATTCTCATTATAACATTTAGAGACAAATGAAATTACCATATATCCATGTTCTACAGAAATAGAATTTGTTTATCATCATTTCAAATCATCTTTTACTAATCTAGTAATATTTTCGCATGTTCGAAATTATACATTATAAATAATTTTTTGCATTATAAGAATTTAAATTCAAGAATTTTCTGTCATTGAAGCAAATGAAAGATAAGTATTCTCTAATTTTTTTAAAAAACCATTCAAAATGTAGCATTAGTTATACAAAAATAACAAGAAAAAAAAATTCTTATTTTTGAGATAAAATATAATAGAAACTGTTGAAAAAAGAATAAATTTTTAAGAAGAATTCTATGGATCAATACGATAAAAAAGATCCGGCATAGTTATACATTGTGTAGTTTGACTTCTTGTTTCTGTTGAAGGTGTTGTTGATAATGAAAATGGCATCGGACAATACTTTTTAAGTAGTTCCGCCAAATCTAAACGTTGAATTTTTTCGAGACGTTCAATAAGATAATTTACATTATTAACAGTAATTTTTCGTCGATCAAATAATGTTTCCCATATATCAGTCATAGATGCTGAACCATCTTTAGCAATAATATCAAGTAATCGACGTGGAACATCTTCACAACCGATTAGAAAACAAAGTCTTTGACGATCAACATTCGTTAAATGACGATCAATTTCAAGTAAAAGTGTACGTAATCTAAAATCACTTCGTTCCATCTTGAAAAGACAACGACGAAGAGATAAAAGAAAAATATAAATACCAATCAACAAAAACAAAAAAAAAATATGATCATGAAATTAATAAAATAAAAAAAAAAACAAACATAAACACAAACACAAAAATGAATCACTGAATATTAGCAACATCTGTATCTTGATTACGAAAATGTAAATTAAATAATGTTTTAAACATTTCAAGATCATCTTTATCATTAGTAGTTGGTAATTGAGCTAATGCACTTATAGTTGTTGTATGTTGAAAATATTCTTCAAAAAATGTATAAACAGTAAAGAAAAGAAGTTTTTGATTTGATGTTGTTGATGATAAAATTTCATCAGATTTTAATGCTGCTTCTAAAAGTTTACGTGCTAATGTTCGTGTTATTGGTATATGTTCCATACAAAAATGAAGTGCTTCTATCACAAAATTATGTCCAAGAAGTATTTCAACAATTTCTTCATTTGCATTTGTTAAACGTTTAAGCATATCAAGTGCTATTTGTGTTGTTGGTTGTTGTTTATTGGAAAGAGAAAGAAGTAGACAAGCTAAAAAAGAAAAAAAAATTATGTTTATTATTTCTTTTTTGAATTTATTTTCTTTTCGAAAATTCTCGATTGATTTTTTCAATAAATTGCTGTGAAAGAAAAAACAAACTTCAGAAAAAATTTTAGGAACATCTATAATATATGATTCGATGCGAATTTATCTCCTATGTCCAATAGTAATAACTGCAATGTTAACAAAAACTAATCAAAAAATATTCACTCGCCTCTTTTTTTTTTGAAAGTCTACGAAGTATTCTTTTGTTCACAAATTTTGTGACAATAGAAAATTTCAATAATCATAAACAATTGTGTACGAGTAGTTAATGCATAGATTAAATTCTCATAACTACAGTATAACCTCTCTATAGTGGACATTCTTCAGGCTTTTCAAAAGTGTCCACTGTAACAAGATTAGATCTTCTCTAAAGACAAAGTGTTTTTTTTTACAAGAAACAGACGTATTTTCTAGGTCTTGGAAGAGTATTAATGAATAGAATAATTAGTTACTTCTCATTTCATACATTGTTCTTCTTGGAAAATTAATAGTTGTTAAAATATAGTAAAATTTCCCTTTCGTAGACACTATTGGGACTTTTCGAAAACATCTATCCTAGAGGATTATAATAGTGTCCCTTATGGAGAGGTTTATTTCCAGCAAAAAAAAGATGATAGGCAGGACTTTGAAAAATGTCTACTATATACAGAGGTATCCACTGCGAGAAGTCTTAGTGTAATCATTCTATGAGAATAAAAAAATGAATTATTTTTTTTTACCAAGTTTTAATGAATCTGTTAAAACTTGATATTGAATTAATTGTTGAAGTTGAAAAAATTGATTATTTTTAACAAGTAAATTGACAAGTAATTCATATATAAAATACTGAACTTGAATATTAAAGCCATTTAATGAACGAATATATTCAATAACAACACTTGTTGCAAATTTTAATGCTTTTGTTTGATGATTATCATCTGATATTGTATCACTTGATGTTATTGATAATGAACGATTATATGTTGTTGTAGTTCCTATTGTTGATACTGATGCAATTGTTGAAAATAATGAAAGAACAGAATATATATCTGATTGATCTAATAATGGACGATTAGAAGAATTTTCAATAAAAACCCGATTTATTCGATCAATAATTTCAATCCAACAATCAAGTACATTAGATGCACTTATATTTGATAAATTATTTGAATCAATTTGTACAGGTGCAATTACATTTGTTAATAATGTTCGAAGTAAAGTAAGTATTGATGATTTACCATTTATTCGTCGTAATAAAATATCAATTAAAAGTAGACGATCAGGTATAAGATCAAGTAAATAATCTAAATTAATTGATAAATACCATAAACAACCCATTTTAACATCAATAATAACATTTGGTAAAAAAACAATCCAATTTGATGAATAAAGTTCAATTGTTGTTGATGATGTTGATATTGTTGATGATGCTAATTGCCAATTAACATTAATTGGTTGTATTGAAAGTTGTGATAATAATGGTTCATGTATAGTTTGAAAACCATCATATTGTGATGTAGAATTTTCTTCTATATCATATATATAAGTTGTTTTTGTTGGTTGATGATGAATTAAAATAAGATTATCAACAACATTTAATGCACATTTACCATATAAATTTAATCGTAATATATGACGTTTTTGAGCAGGTTTATGATCAGTTTCTATTTGATAGAGTACTACTTCAACTGAACCTTGTCCTATAAAGTTAAGAAAAAAAAATCTTCTTTCGTTCATGCAACTACCATTTTTTTTTAGACGTTTTAGTAGTTATTCTTCAGACAACAATAACAAACATAACTATATATCTAGGTTTTTTTTCTTTTTCTTTCTAATCCTAGTGCGAAAAAACAAGACGGTAAACTGAACAAGGCATGATAACGATTCGTCATCTTTTTCCTGTACCATAATTAGAAAGCAAAAAGGAAAAAATCTATATATATATATATATATATATAGTTTGTGCTTATTATTGTTGTAAAATTTCGACTGAAGGAGATAGTCCGATGATTACTGAAACGTCTGAATAAATAAATTATTGGTAAACAATACTGGATGAGTGAAAAACCTATTTCAAAGCTTACAATAACCTTTTGTAACAAACGTTACTGATTTTCGGAAAATCTACATAGCATTGTAACTTTTTCATTTCTTAGAAATTTAATTCTGTATTTTGAGAAATAAGTATGAAAATTTGATTATAATATAGATTATACATAGAAATGAAGTATATATCTTTCGGATTGGATTGAATTAGGAAATCCATCTTGTTCCTATTTAACTATTCTCAAATGCTACATTGAATAACTTGAATATTAACATTAATGATTAGCTCTATAAGATAATTATTTTAATTTCTGTTTGACTCCTAAAAATATATTTAAAATAAAACGCTAGCTATCTCACAATTATTCAAATAAAAAAAAACAAAGGATAAAATTGATATAAGAGTGTGGGTGTAGATGCGGCTCTTGTCTTCATCCACGCACATCCTTCCTAACCCAACCAATTTCCAAAGGTATACACGTCACATTTCTATATATTTTTCATATCAAAATGGATTTCCTGACCCAAGGCAATGCTAGACTACGAGTTATCTTCCTTCAATCGAATGTGTAAAAATTAAGCATTCACTTTATCTGAACCTCTTGTAGCATATGCAAAGTTTTCTTATCGGAAACAAAAAAAAAATACTAACCAGCAACTCGGAATACTTGACGAATAACTAATAGATAAGCTTTGTCATAGATAGTTGCAAGCATACAATCACGTTCAGTAAGTTCATAACATCGTCTATTTGTTGATTGAGAAGATGATAATGATGAATTTGATGCAATAGAATTTGAACGTTGCATAATTGATTGTGCTTGTGGTAAATCAACTTCAAATTTTGGTAATTTAACTAATTGTTGTTGTTGCATTTTATGAAATGAAAATGGAATTAATGAATTACCCGATGGTGAACCAGCTGATATAAGTAAAAGATTCATTTCACGTGAAAATAATTGCCAATTTGTATTTGGTATAGGATAATGTTTAAGTGGACGTAATGTTCGTTTTTCAGCATTTAATAAATAATGTTCAATTGATTGATCAGTAACAAAAACAATTTCTTTATCTGACAACCAATTAAAATCATATAATTTACTTGATTTTGTTTTTGATAATTGTGAATATTCAATAGCATCTGATTGAAGTATTGTAGCTGTTGTTGATATTGATGGACGTGTTGATGAAGTTATTTGTGGAATAGGAGCAAAATTAAGAAATTCAACTGAATTGGAATTACGTTTTATTGCTAATACGGAAAGATCAGGATTAAATTTAATAGATTGTATTGCACCTTTATCTTCAAGACGAAATGAATAAGCTTGTTCATGACGTTGTCCTTTGACGGTCACACCTAAAAAAACAAAGAAAAGAAAAAAAATATATATCTATTTGTTTAAATTTTTTTTTTCTTTTAAAGATAATAATGTTATATTATTTATTTGTATTACAATAAGAGCTTACAACAATTTCGTCCTCATTCGTATAGATCGGTTTAATATGTAATGACCAAATATCTTCTGATAATTGTTCAATAGTTATTTTTTCTAATTGATTTTTATTTTCAATAGATTTTTCATTTTTTTTATTTTTTAATTGTATAATTTTATTTTCATTAATAATTGAAATAATATTATGATTAAATAATGTAAATACTTGTTCATTAAAAGCATTTATATAATGTTCAAATAATGATAATGAAATTTCTATTGAAAAATTTGTTGCTTGATAAATATAAAAAAATTTTTTTTGATCAAATTTTATTTCATTTGAAAATTTTTCAAGACTATTACCAAAAAATAAAATTTCATTTAAATTTTTTTTATTCCAATTTGAATAAAGTAAATTATTATGTATTGGTTTAGAACAAAATGGTATATAAATAAATGATGAACGATTAATTATTTGATTAGCTTGATTATTTTCTTTTAAAATAATATATTTTGAATATGTATTATAATTTTCAAGAAAATTATTTTCATCTTTTGTCCATATTGGATCATAAAGATAAATATTTTCAATTTTATTTTCAAATAATTTTTCTATTAATTTTAATAATGCATATTGATATTGTGAACATATTGATGAACTTATATGACCAAGACCATATGATAATATATCAATAGATGTTATTTGTTGATTAATCCAATAAAGAAAATTTTTTTCAAATTGTTTCCAAAAATAACTTTTATATATAATATCAATTTTATTTTCAATATTTTTTATTAATTGTTCTTGATTAAATGATAATTGATTTTCATTTATTGTTGAATTTAATATAATTCGACGATTTTGTTTTTTACGTCTTATAAAACGAAAACTATCTGTATTTTCTTCGTATTCATAAGACATAACAATCTAGAAAAATAATTAAATATTATATTTATTTATTCTTACCCATTGCACCTGAACCACGAACACAAAATAATTGTTGATTATCTTTATCATAGAAAACACTTGTACCATTACTAATTGGTTCAAAAACAATTGGTTGAGATGATAATTTAAGAAAATAACCCGATTGATTATTTGTCATCTAGAATAATCCATAGAAAAAAAAATTCCACACATGAAACAAAAAAAAAGAACACATATGTATTTTGCTGGTTTTGTTCATTTTGACTACGAAAATCACAAGCAAAAGAAAGAAAAGAAAAGGGCGAACAGATAAATCAAGTTTGTTTTTTTGATTGATGACAAGTGCGAAAAGATTGTTTTAAACTATTCACGAATAAGTTCAGCAATCATACAATAAAGATAATAGAAGAATGTTATCATATAAAAACCAAGTTTAATCCAACCTTCACGTTGTGCTAAATTTAATATTTGAGCATTCATTATTGTTGTTGGATCATATATACCAAATCCACTCATAACTGGACGTGTACGAAATTTATTTATATGATAAGCTATTAATGGCATATTAAAAAATATTGTTAACCATTCACTACCAAAAAGAAATAGAATATTAATAAATATATGTATGGCATATTCAGGAATAATTAATGGATTTAATGATTTACATTGTTCAATTGGATTTTTATGATCATTTTTTAATTCATCAAATGCTATAATCTATTTATTTATACAAAAAGAATTTTTTTTTATGTCTTTTTTAATTATCAATATTTAACAAAAAATCGAAAAAGAAAACTTACATGCCATATAGCGAAAAAGATAAGTAAAGCTGTAAGAACAAGTGCAATAATATAGGCAAGAGCAACAAATGTAAAAGCCATATTGAATTTAATTACTAATGAATAAAATAAAATTGATTAAATTTTGCTTGTCTGTTTTGCTGTCTTTTTTTGCAGAGATATAATTAAAGGTACAAATCATACTGGACTTTAAACAAACAAATAGAAATGTCGATTTTTATTGGTTAATTTATATCGTATAGAATTCTAGCGCTATGAACAAATTGATAAAAAGTGTATTGGTTGTTATTGACAAGTTGATGTGTCGTGAACGATAATGATTGGATATTTGTCACTAGTATCATTTTTCTATTTATTTATTCGGCTATTTCACACTGTGTGCAGTCATCGTATGAGTCAGTATCAAAATGACACGTATAACGAACGATCATTTTACTTAAGTTAAATAGCATTTATTCATTCGTTATACATCTTCATTTTTTTTACTTCTTCAGATACACATGGCTATAAGAATTTGTTTTTTGTTTATAATTTTATTTTTCTATGGTTATTATATACAAAAAATTTCTACGAATGAAGAATGTCAATTATCTCGTAACAATGATATGGTTGATGATTGTAATTGTTATATATCAGATTTAAATCAACTTAATAATCAACGTTTATACCCGCTATTACGTCAAATAGTACAAAAAAATTATTTTCGATTTTTTCCAGTTAATCTTAAAAAGCCATGTCAATTTTGGCCTAGTGATGGTCAATGTTTACTTCGTACATGTGCAATAAAATCATGTCCTATTGAAAAACTACCTGAAACATTACGTGAGTCATTTAATAGTAATAAAGCAAATCGTTTAATAAATACAAAACATAATGAAAATAATAATGAAATACAATGTTCAACAAGTGATACAAATTCAACTCTTGGTTTAATTGATAAAAATTTAAGTGAAGAACATAAACAAACAATTGAAAATTGGATGAAATTTGATGATGTACAATCAGAAAATTTTTGTGATGTTGATGATGAAACATCAATTGATTTTGAATATCTTGATTTATTAGCTAATGTTGAACGTTATACGGGTTATTCTGGTTCATCAACACAAAGAATATGGTCGGCTATATATAATGAAAATTGTTTTTTTTTACCTGATTCAAAACTTTATTATGATTTAAGACAAAAACGCTTAAATGCAAATAAAATGTGTCTTGAAGGACGAACATTTTATCGTCTTATTTCAGGTCTTCATTCAAGTATAAGTATACATTTATGTGCAGATTATTTTTTTCCAATACTTGGTGGTGGTGGTGGTTATTCTGGTATTGATGGGCGATGGGCTCCAAATTTTGATGAATTTAAACGTCGTTTCGATCCTGAAACAACAGGTGGTGAAGGTCCAATATGGTTAAAAAATCTTTATTTTATTTATTTAATTGAATTACGTGCAATTTATAAGGCACGTGATTATTTACAAAGTCAAACATATTTTACTGGAAATCAAACTGATGATTTACATACAAAACAATTAATAACAGATTATTTATTAAAAGAACTTGAACCATTTTCGAATCATTTTAATGAGAGTGATTTATTTAAAAATGGTAATGAACAATTAAAAATTGGATTTAAAGAACATTTTCATAATATAAGTCGAATAATGGATTGTGTTGGATGTGATAAATGTAAATTATGGGGAAAATTACAAATACAAGCATTAGGTATGAAGTAAAAAAAAAACAAAAACCTAGAAATAGTATTGTCCATTTCAAAAGAAAAAAGTTGATGATTAGTTGAAATCTGCTTGATCAACAATTGACTAACATCAGGCAACTTCTTAGCAAAGATTTTGACTTGTAATATGGTCAATCGGTAGAGAAAACTTTTCTCTTTCAATATACGTAAACCTCAACTTCGTAGATAATTCTGTTCAAGAATTTTTCTGAGACTTCCCGATTTCAGAAAATTGACCATCGAACATTCTAAAAGAGCTCCAAACACGGATTATTCATCTCGCTGAGTCGAACGCTCAGTTTCAAAGTAATTTGTGATCCCGCTGTTTGAGTACTTTTGAAATTTCAAGAGTTTCTCACATACAGCATAAAAATAGAAGTTTTGAAAATGTTCAAATAATGGTGACCCGTCGCTTTGAAACTGACTCCTTCAACTCAGAGTGATGAATTATCCTTATCTGTAGCTCGCATGAAATCTTCCAAGGACGGTTTGATGAAATCGGGAGCTTCCAAGAAAACTCTTGAGCGTAAGTGACTGCAAAGTTCGAGCTTATGTAGATCGAAAGGAAAAATTTTTCTCTATTAACTGGCAATATTACACGCCAAAATCTAATGAGAAATGTTATCAGAATTTCATTTTCAAAGTTTTTGCTAAGAAGTCAACTGTTAATCAATTAGATTTCTATCAAATGTTATTCAAAAAAAACAATCATCGACATCAGGGTTCCTGATTAGACGAGAGAGGAGCAGGGAGGGGCTCCCCCCAAATTTCAGACTTTCTGCCACAATTTTTTATAACACTTTCTGCGACTTTTTTAAAGTTCAGTTCAGCAGAAAGTTTTTGCATTTGCTGGAATAACATTAAACCAAAGATGATGCTTTCTGCCAAATTTCTCGCAGAAAGTCGA